TTTATTCTCTGATTATTTTTTTTGCTGTGCTGTAACATTTTGGTTTAAGTAAGTTCCATTTGTTTATTTTTGTTGCATGTAGACATTATATATTTTTTGTAGCTACTGAAAATGGGATTGAGTTTTTGATTTGGTTCTCAGCAAGGTTGTTATGACTGTATAGAAATGCTACTTATTTTTATAAATTGGCTTTGTAACCTAAGACTAAACTGAATTTACTGATCATATTTAGGAGTGTTTTGGAAAAGTGTTGAGCGTTTTCCAGGTTTAAGCTCAGATCATCAGAAAACACAGATAATTTTATTTTCTGTTCCACTTTTGATGCCCTTAATTTCTTTCTCTCATTAGTTAGTTTTAACTGATCCTCAAAGTCCCAATTAGCTATCCAATTTTAAATTCTTATGTTTTGGCATAGCAAAAGCAACAAGTTTTGTCAAGTTGTTTAATGTTTTACTTATGATAAATACCTCTTATAATTATTTCTGAAAAGGCCAAGAGAGCTCACAGTTTTACATCCTTAGTTCCCAGAACATGAAAAGGAATTTATGGTTAATGAATAATTTTTGAATAAGTGAATGTACCAACCAGTGAATTATCTAGCAATTTAGGAGGAATTTAGATACATGTTTTCTGAAAGCACATGATATAATCCGTGGCTGATTTCCCAAGGATATAAAATGGAAAGGAAACTAACTTATTTATATAGAAAGTTCTATATTAATCTTTTACACTGAGTATTTTATTTAATCCTCACATTGGGCTATTTCTATTCCATTTTTTTCAGTTAAGAAACTGAGCTTAGAAAGATTAAGAAACTTGTTCAAGGTCAAAGCTTCTTAGACTCAAAGTTGATTTTGAATCAGCACTTTCCAAACTCATGCTGACTCCATTATAATAAACTTTACAAATTAGATTAATATAATTTTAACAAATATTATTTATGGTTGTATATAGACTATAAAAGGATGTGTTGACATTAAGGTTAAATTAAAATAATCTTATATATTTGTACATCCTGGCTCTATGTAGGGCTCTTTACAGCTTTCTATTGGTTAATAAATTATATAAATATATGCTTGGATTGTGTAGAAACATTGATTAGGCTTCAAGAAGTATTTAGAAATATAAACTTCACATGGGGAAACACCAAATTACCATAAAAATTTCAAAAGCAAAATAATTTTGGCATATCATTTCAGATGAATTAACCTTACATTTTGGAAATAGGTAGAACATAGAATTGCACTCCCCAAGGTATGTGTGTCTGAGTGGACATTTCAAAGAGAACTTAGCACATCCTTCATGTTCACATGGATGGAGCTGGAGAATGTTCTTCTGAGCAAAGTATCATGAGAATGGAGGAAAAAGTACCCAATGTACACACCCCTATTATGAAACTAATTTATACCTTTTATA